GAGAATTTATTGCCATATTCAAGACAGTGTCGGGAACTAAAAGATCAGACTTTCCATGGATCTTTACGAGATTTTTCGCAGATTCTTCACAGACTTTAACATATTTTGCCATAGATTTTACTCAGACTTTTATACATTTTCACTAGGTTTTTACATACAGATTCTACCACATTCCATATAGGTTTTCTAGATATTTTACTGTAGATTTTTCACCAGTGTATTAGTTTAACATATTGCGAGAAATTTTAAAGCTCTCACACTCGAATTATGTGTAAAATTTTGGGTGCATGTTATTTCTTTGTTTTTTTTGTTTATGTTTTTTTTTTGTTTATGTTAGAAGAACTATTAAAGTCCTCCTGTAAGTGTTAGCTGTGGTTGAGCTTTAGAGGCCATTATTTGTAGGGCGAGTGACATAAGGTTTTCGCCAGTAAATTAGGGTTTCTTTGGTCACCAACCACAGATAGGTTTTAATGTTCTCAGTGGAGCATTGGCTCTGATATTGTTATAATTGTATTTTTTTTATAACTTCTTTTCAGGCATATTATGCTACTATATTAAAAGTAATAAACAAAATAGAATATTCTTGTATTTCTTTTGTTAATTACTTAGTGAAGGTATTTTAATTGTCAGTGGAACCCAAGTTATGGACTTGGATTTCACTGCTTGAATATATTGTTATTTTTAATTATACTTGTCAAAAGTCATTAGTATTAGGTCTATTATATTTTAAACACTAAACTCTTTATCTAGTCTCATAGAAATTTTCAAGAATTAGAAAAGTGTTAAAAATAATAGACCTATTACTAATGTTTTGTGACAAGTATAATTAATTCTAATTGTTCTTCGCCAGCTTGTAAAAGGCGTTCACACCATAGCAATTGTTGTTGTACCAAATGGCTTATATAAAGAGTTTTACGACCACTGCTATATTTGTTGTATCCCAGCTGGCTTGAAGAGCTTTAGATGAGAGAACGGGTTGTCGGCAATGGATATGGCAAATATAGTGTGGTTCCAATAATAATAATATTATACATTCTTCTAATTATTTAACATTTCTAAGGAACTAGATAAAGAATGTAGTGTTTAAGAGTATAATAGACCTATTACTAATGTCTTATGACAAGTATAATTAATTATAATTATGCCTCGCCAGCTTGTAAAAGACGTTCACACCATAACTTTTGTGTCATTATTTTCTATAAGTAGACTAAAAGGAAGATAGTGTAACTTGCAAAAAAACCAAAATCTATTTCTGTAAGTGCGTGATTAGCTTATACAAAAAATATTAGTAATCGTTCAGTGGTTATTATTTCTAGTGGTTTACCTATTGTATCAGTCCAACTTATTGGTGTGTAGTTTTTAGGGTGTTGTGAGAACTTATCAGGTTTCAATGTTATGACTACTGGGGTAATTTTCCAAGCTGATGGATTATGTTAGTATTATAGAATGAGAGTGAAAATATGGGCTAAATGTTGAAAAAAATATATCATCTTTATTTTAAATAAATGTCAGGAAAATTGTCTTCTCTATGATATTTTTTTATTTTTGGTGGTGTTTACTGTCAGAGGTGATTATACAATCTCATTCCGGTGTTCTAAGTGTAGATATTTGTTGTATGTGAGTGTTATCTTGAAATATATTATAAATTGGTCTTGTTTTCTGAAATATATATTTTTTCGACTGATTGTTTAACGCAGTGATGTAAGAAGTGGTGGTGTAGATTTTACAGTGAGAGATTAAAAGTATAAGGATCTGCTAAAAGCAGTTCCTGTGCTGCCAAAGGCAGCTCAATCTATTGGAGTATGGGGGCATGCCCCCCAGAAAAATAATATAATCTACAGTTATTATATAAGTCAAATATGTAAAAGTGATGGTAATGTAGCACTAACGGGTTCCGACGCCTCTGGTTTAACGTATTGTTGTAAGGCATATTTTTAGTTTTAATTTAGATGTTTGCTGGAAGACGCATGGCATTCAGATCAAGTAAGTTTATAAACGAATTACGAAATGCAGAAATTAAACGAACCACATTTCTATCTACACCGACTCAAGAGTATGAATCTAAAGCACCATCTACCTCGTAATATGGAATAGGTGAACATATTTTGTTTAGCCCATTTACAACTGTTGCTGTGGCAGCTGTTACTGCATAACTTTTCTGGACTACTTCAGCCATGACACTCCAAATCAAGTACAAGAATTTAGTTGGCTAGTTCAGCCTTAGCCAGTAGAGAAACCAATGGACTATGATGGAAAGTATCATGGCAGGCATACCAGGCTCAGTTCGAAATTGTTTCCAAGGTGTACATGTAGAATAATGAGCAACAAGCTGTTAATTTTGCTGCCCATTTATAAGTACCAAATAATATTCCAACTGAAAGCCTAACAAAAATGAAGCAATGGTAGCTGCTTATCCAACTGGTTTGGAGTAACACAGAAGAAGGAAGTATCCAAATCAGGGTATGGAGCAAAGAAGAGGCCATAACTTGTAGATGGCGCCTTTAGTAGTTCATCTGCGACTTTAAAGGATTCAAATTCCATTACCAACCGCGGAGCTTCAATTAAAGATTTACACCCACTTTGTTTCAAACAAATTATCATATTGTTACGTCTCTGTGTTCGTTTGTTAATTTTCCGTAAAAATTCTTTTCGAAGAAACTTTAGCGATACAAGCCCTT